CTCACGAAAGGTGACATTCTACTAAATGGGTAAAGCTGAAGAAGCAAATATTGTCTATATACTGTACAAAAGTAATGTTTATTCTTCACAATGCTCTTTACACACAATACTCCTCCTAATATTTGTTATTGTATGACATGACCCTGATAAGACAGGAGCAAAAGTGAATATATATTTCTGCCATACAATAAGAAAAAGTAGGAGGGGTATTGCGTGGAAAGAGCGCAGTGAAGAATAAGTACAATGTATATTTTATTGTTCAGAATTACTATTGGATAAGGAATAAGGAATAGCAATTGGTAATCCAGGAGGGTAGTGCTGCAGGGGACTTGTTGATGTGTATTCTTCCTTGAATCTTGGTGAGCTTTGTGTATTTCTTCCAGATCTGTGCAGTAATCCAATGTGAGACTTGAAGCTTCCTGTAATAAAGAACGCTCACTGCTGCTCTCTCTCCTTGTGCAGGGTGACTGGTCTTGTCTCCGCCCACTCCTGTAGTTTTCTGCAGGCAGCCTGTAGTGGGTGGGGCCTGTTGGGTCCCTCCCACAGCCCTGCCCTCTACATAGGCTATATTTAAACCCTTTGTGGCTATTCTTGGATTCTTGTACCTGGAGTTCAGCTGTAAAGATTTATGACTTACATTAGTTTTAAAGTCCCAGCATATCCTATCTGGTTATGACATCAGCATTGTAATAGGAATACATACTAGAGTTGTTTTTGATTAAAGCTTACTTGATAAAATCCCTTTTATGTAGTGAGCGCTGCCTTCCGTCTGCCCATCACTTCCACCAACTTTCTCGATCCCCAGTGTGCTTTGCGTCTCTTGGACGAAAATCGACGGGTAAAACTTGCTATACACCTTTAGAGTTTCTGCAGATGTTCTATGGTCAGATGGAAAAAGTGCAACAGATTCCTCCATCTACGCTAAACTGTGCTGATGGAGGAATACCAAGCTTTAATATCTTGCTAGTCGGCCCCACTGGCTGTAAAAATACCTTATCAATCTGATTGCAACCCCCTGAGTACGTCGACTGTGACGAAACGCGTCGGGACGGGCCTATTCCATGTGATACCACGATCAGGAAGTACATGCTTTGCGGACGCTGGATTTGGTGCTGTGTTTGACCGGCCGGTTTTTGCTGTTTTAAACTGTTAGTTTTCTATGTTTTTTTAAATAAACGTGTATACTTGCCACGCCATGAGGAGTTTTTCTTTTATGACCCCACAAATGCTCGAGTGACGGGATACTGCCGGCTAGAATACCTTGAATGTGGACGCATAGAATCATCTACACTGTCTATTTTCCACAAACAGTGGGGTGAGTGCGCACTCCAGAGGGGGATTCGTGGACACTTGCACAGCGGTGTTGAAATATTTCTGTCTGGGCTTCATTTTTTTCTACTTTGGATTTTTCACATTCTCATCACAATTGATGTTGTCACAATTTATTTTGATGAATTATCACTGACTATTGTATAGGATTTGATTAAGTTGGCTGTTATATAGCTACACAGCGGATTTTATGAGGCACTTGGTTCCTTTTAATAATTAAGGATATTGCTATGTGAAGACACTAGGATCACCCAATATTGTTTGTAATTTTATTTGTTTAAACACAATTTTTTCATATTTATATATCCCTGAAAAAGGGATCACACTTTACCCATTGTAGGGATTTTAGCACGTTAATAGATGTGTAACACATAAAACACCTACAGCGCTGCACACTCATTATTTCATAATCTGATTGGATGCAGGCATTGTTCAGGTGTTTTGAGAGCCAGCGGGGCCGACTAGCAAGATACTGAAGCTTGGCCCAGTGGGAGATTCCTCCATCCACACAGTTTAGCGTAGATGGAGGAATCTGTTGCACTTTTTCCACCTGACCATAGAAAATCTGCAGATACTCTATAGGTGTATGGCCAGCTTTAGTGGCGTCTTTGTACAACAAAAATCTCAAGATGAAAACTGCACATGCTCAAACAAAAATCTGTTCTTTTGATCGACGAAAATCGGCCAGTTAGTGGTGCTGACGAACGTTAATTGCAAACTACATTGACCTGCGCACGATGGGCTGTTTGAATGAAAATTGAACAAGGGTGAGATGTCTGGACAAAAAAAGTTGTACAATGGTTGTAAGGTGTATAGTCACCTTTAGAGACTGTAACATACAGGTACTCTTGAATACTAAACCACAAAGGGACTCTTAGGGACTCGTTCACACCTAGGCGTATTGCATATGCGCGTCTGTCGCGCGTTTTTACCGCGACCCGCGACAAACGCGCGTTTCCGAAGGCTACCTGGCTGTATCCCAATCGAAACGCGCAACAAAACGGCCCAAAGTAGTACATGTACCTTTTCAGGCGTGGGCCGTTTTGTAGCGCGTTAGGGACAGGCGGAAATACGCCAAGGTGGGAACGAGACCATTGAATACAATGGGATTTATATTTTTGAGCGTTTTGTAGAGCGTTTGTCAAGCGTAGAACGCGCTACAAAACGTTCAGGTGTGAACGAGGGCTAATACACACACACACACACACACACATGCAAAAACACACACACATTGAACTTGATGGTCCTGAGTCTTTAGTCAACCTCAAATACTATGTCACTATGTAAACATTTCTAAAGGTGTGTTTGTTGTCATTTCAAAGATATGGGAAAAAATCCTCTTTATGATGTTATTTGCTGAAGAGTTTGTTTATTTTTTTAGTAGACTTCTCTAGTTACACATTAGGAAAGCATGTTTAAAAACATTCCTTTACTTAACAACCACAATCTTCCTGACTATGCTGCCTGAAAAAGTCATATTAATCATATTAAAGGAGAACTATGGGGTCAGGGGTTTCCCCCATAGTTCTCCTAAGGGTCACGGAGGACATAAACTAGCGTCCTCCCGTCACCCAAAGCTCAGTATATAGCGTTCTACAGCTCGCGGTATACTGAGACACGGCAGCCGGGACAGATCCAGACAATACTGTCTGGATCCACCCAGCTGCAGGATTGACAGCTGGCTCTGCCTATCCAGAGGCAGAGCCAGCTGTGCCCGCCCCCTCCGGACAGGGGAGGGGGGAATCCCTGCAAGGAGTCGTGAGTGACAGTCACGGCTCTCTGCAGGGATAGATCGAGAAGTGAGCGACCGACGGTATGTGTTCGCTCACTTCCCAATCTACTGAGCCGACCTGTGACAGTTTCATTGTCGCAGGTCGGCTCAGATTATGAGGCTGAGTGAAATTCACTCACCTCATAATTCTCCTTTAAAGGGACACTACACTCAGGAGTTAAATCTTAAAAATGCATTCAATGCATAGCTTGAAGGGTTATTAAACTCTCATTGGTTTTTGCATATATCTACGGCTAGCAAGCAAAAACATTTTTGAAAGAGGTTTAAGCTTCCCTGTGTCTTCGCTGCGCGCTCCCGTCCGAACATCTGAAAATTTCTCGGGCGGGCGCATGCGCAGTTCAGATGTTCGGCCGGGAGACGAGGAGAGACACAAGGTAAGTCTATGGAGCAGCGTGCACCCGCACAGACACCGTGGGACATGAGAGAAGAGGAGAACAGAGGAGTCAGCACTGGATCAGAGACCCGCACCAGTGCTGGAGGGACATATGAAAACTACAGGAAAGAAGATCAGATTAAGAGGCATCATTTAAAGGAGAACTATGAGGTGAGTGCTTTTCACTCACCTCATAGTTCTAGCCGACCTGTGAAAATGAGACTGTCACAGGTCGGCTCAGTTGATCGGCTCTCTGCCGTGACAGGGGGAGGGGCTGGATTCCCCTCTCCCCGCTCCGATCTGCCAGCACTGACTGGCGGAACGGACGGGGAGGGGGCGGGTACAGCTGGCTCTGCCTCTAGACAGGCAGAGCCAGCTGTCACTCACGCAGCTGGGCGGATCTCGACGTCCATGTCGGGATCCGCTCCGGCGTCTCAGTATACCGCGAGCTGCAGCTCGCGGTATACTGAGCTTAGGGTAACGGGAGGACGCTAGTTTGTGTCCTCCCCGTTACCCTAAGGAGAACTATGGGGAAAAACACTGACCCCATAGTTCTCCTTTAAGGTAAGTCCTTAGCAGTGTGGGGGGAACTTTTCCCTTTAATGTCACTTTAACTATTAACAAAAATTTATCTTATTTGTGTATCATTCGGCTGTAGATCCTCCAATCATCTCTGAATTGGTGCTGACACTGTCCTTCCTTCTGGAGGGTGGCTACTTTTGTTCCCCATGGTCCCTGTGTGTGTTTTGTAAAGTAGTCACCGCTCCAAGCTCTCTCCTGTGATGGACTACAATCTCACGTTTAGTTTACTAATTTGTATTGAGATTCTAGTCTATCACCGGAGCGAGCTTGGAGCGGTGACTACTTTACAACACACAAGGACCATGGGGAAGAAAAGTAGCCACCCTCCAGAAGGAAGGACAGTGTCAGCACAAATTCAGGCCAGGCTTAGACCTGAGCGACGCCTGGGATGCTAGTGCACACAGCGGTTGCTGCGCAGCCCGATTGATTTCAATGGGGTTACATCTGCATGTCAGTCGCTATAAAAAGGTACATGTACCTTTTTTTGCGACACACGACACACGTCTTTTTGTGTTCAATTGCACAGGCGGAATCGCGGCGGGAAACCACGTGATCTGCCCGGCGCGACTGGGGTGCCATTAGAAAATAATGGCGCCCGCAGCGCGATCGGCTGTGGTGGGCGACTCCGTGACCGCCCGGCAATCCGCACGGTTTTGTGTCAGGAGTCGCCCAAGTGTGAACCTAGCCTCAGAGATGATTTGAGGATCTTCAGCCGAGTGATACACAAATAGGATACATTTTTGTTTATAATTATAAGGACTTGAATGCATTTCTAAGATTTAACTCCGGAGTTTAGTGTTACTTTCCCATTATTGTTGGTTCATCTCATCTCATTATTGGGGGATTTCAGTGCTGTCTTTTCCTCTGTTTGCTGACTTTCACAAGGCTGGATGTCAGGTTGGCTGAACTCTTTGCAGACAATCCTGTGACTGTGCTGGGCGTGTCTTCTGACGCTCAAGCAGCCAATGTCTAGAAGGATTCCTTCCTCTGTGTGTAGTGTTTCCCCAGCAAGGCTCATCACACTCATCTGAGGATCCTCTGGGTGAAAAGGAAGTATGGACTTCTTCAACAAGCTGACCAGATCTAACAGTACAAAGAAGAAGAAGCCGGCCTCTGATCAGGTAATAATGTCTTCTTTCCTGCTGAACAGGATGTCAGCTCCTGCAGTGAATGTTGCTGAGTGCAGCATTGACAGCTCGGAGACTGAGTTCACTCTGCTGTATTGTCAGGGCTTCGGAGTGGTCAGACCAGGTCATCATGCAAAGACGTCAAGTGTTGCCTGTAAACAGGAGCAGTCAGGGCTATGCATGAATGCATTTTTGGCACATTGATGCATGCATGTTGACATTTTCTTAAGGCATTGCGTTGGCATGCATCTTGGTTTAGTGCACGTTCACACCACCCGCGTTTGGGCTGTGCTGGCTGTTTTTTCCAGCGCAGCCCAAATGCAAAACAAGGCACTTTACCTTGTCATGGATGGGCGCAGTTCACACCGCCGCGTTAAGGTGAAAAATGTACAGCATGCAGTATTTTTTTCAAGCGCGCCACAGTGAGACGCGGTACAACTGCATCCCACCGCGGTGAGTCTATATGCTTGTGACATTGCAATAAAGTTCTAACCCAAAAAAAAAAAAAGTGCAGTGCGGCTTAATCAAGCGCATCAGGACTGTTTGGGCACACGCACACCAGCAGCCGTGCAGTTGAGTGCGGCTGCTGGGGTGAACAAGTACTCCATTCTCACTGGGGCATAGAGGTGACGCACGTCGCGGGAATTTGTGTTCCCCTACTTTTGTGGGACTTTGTTTCCCGCATTTGGCGCGCATCCCCATTGTGCCAACCAAGCAAAAGAAATACATGTCGCAGATTTGGCGACATGTGTTCAGCGTTTTTCTCTGCACATTTGCATGCGCTCTCTTGCGCAAACTTGCAGGAAAAAAAACACGCTTGCTCAATATGTGGGGCGCCATTACCTTGTAATGACCACGCAAACGCCTTCTGCATGTGTGCACGTATTGTGAATGTGTGTCAAAGCGTGCGTGTTTGTGCATTTTTTACGCATGATCAAAATGCACCCCAGTGTGAACGGAGCTTTAGCGCACGAGTCAGAGACAGAATGCAACTCATGTAGTTGTGATTACGTCCGTTGCATTCTCATGGATTTACTTTTTAAGGACATGTTCGCACAAGCAGCAGACTTTACCGTCCCTCTGAAAAGCGACCCTTCAGTGGTCACGTTTGAGGGGCGTCAACGGCTGCCGAAAGTGACACGCTGTCTCATTTTTGGCGTACTGCATCGCAGCTGCGGCAATGTGTGCAGCGCTGTCAGGCTGCAGTGCTAACTTGTCAGTGGGTGGCCGGGGACCAGTAAAAATGAGGATCAACTGCCTGCCTGTTTTTTTCCTGCTGGTACTGTGTTCAACGTGATGCAGGGTCCTATGGAGCCGCCCTTGTGTGTGCTAGTAAGCTGTGTGTGTCTCCACAAACACACAGGCACAGCAAGGCAAGTTCAGGGAAGCTGAGCTAAAAGAGCTGGAGCCAGCTGTTTGGAACATGATAACTGTAAGTGTTTGTGCAAAGATGTAAATAAATCCTTTGCTGGTCAGTGTGTATTAGTTTGATCTGGATTACTGAAAAGATTGAGAGTTTAATAAACTGGGCAGGAAGCTGCACACCTGCTCGGTAATTGTTTTTATTGAACATTAGACGAAAAACACCTTTTATTGATGTGATTTTATTATAGCAGATTGTCAGATAAAACAAGTACAGTTACAACATCCTTGAGGTCAGGGACTGATGTCAATGTGCAGTTTGCAAAGCGCTACGTAAATTGTCGGTGTAATAAATCAATCAATCAATCAATCACTGATGTCTGAAAACACCTAAAAAATGCTTAAAAATCGTCTGAAAATACTCAGATGTGGATTGGGCCCAGTGGCGTCACAAGGGGGGTGTGGCCCGCACCTGGGTGCCACCAATGGTGGGGTGATACCAAAATGACTGACAGTCATTTTGGTGTCATCCCCTATGAAAAGACAGGCACTCAGTCATGGACAGTGTCAGGAGAGAGGACGGGACCCGGCGGCATACCTCAACCCGCCGAGTGAACATCCCCCTCCTCTCTCTGCCGGCGTCCATCACCAAGATGGCTGCCGGCAGGCGTCAATAAGATGACCGCGCATGCGCGATGGTGTCACGGTGGGGTGTCACCCCTTCTCCGCTCCGGGTGTCACCCGGCCTCGGGACGCCCCTGATTGGGCCTAAAAAAGCACAAAGGCTTTTAGGACATTCAGTCCCATTTTGGGAATCAAGATGGTGCTGAGGTTCTGTACTCAATTCTGGTGGTTGCTTAAGGTAACAGGTTCACTTTGGCCTATATGGTTCAAGAGTATAATAGCTTGGCAGGAATTTTCTTCTATTTTCCTGCTGTCCTAGTTTTTTGTAGCAACTAGTTTGGATTAGGGATGAGCTCTGGCTCGGACCAAACCCAGTCTGAACCTGAGTTTTTTCAGCTGACGCCCAATCAGCTGAGGCTGGGGAATACCCTGTCCACAGCTGCACATGAGCAAAGGTTTGGGATGCTGTGACATCATTGACCTTATATGGCCATATGGCTATTTTTGGCCAATAATATTGACCTCATATGGCCACATAAGGTCAATGATGTCGGCGCTCACATCCCACCGCTTTGTGTGCAGCTGCAGGACGGGGAAGAATTACGGTAGTGAGAAATCAATAGCATTCGGGCAAGACTTTTAAACCTGTGTGATAACTATTTCCTAAAGGAAGACTTTGGCGGTGGTGTCTGCAGATTACCCCATGAATATTAGACCAAAACTGTACAGATGTGGAGATTGAAATTTAATGTCTACTGGTATCGCCATTTATCTTGGGGGGGTTGTGGGGGGCAACAATATGAAACAAAACAGGATTTTTACCCTCTTAATTTCAAGAGCCATTGGCTAGTGCGTGTCTGCCTACTGCTATAAACATGCCCTGCTTTGTCTGGCTGAGCAGGAGATCTATTTTTTCTTCGAGGCTGGTGCATCCACTGCCAGCCATAACCAGGGCCGGCCTTAGGCCTTTAGGCGCCCTGTGCGAGAAAGCTTTACAGCGCCCCTCAGTGACCACACCCCTCAGTGGCCACACCCTTTAGTGGCCACACCCCCAGTAACCACACCCATTTATCACCCATATTTTTGGTAAAATATAAAAAGACGGGGTCACGTCGGGTAAATAGACACCAAACATGTCATGCTTTAAAATTGCGCGCACCCGCAAAATCGCAAAAAATTACCATGCCCAAAATTGACCATAGGTGACGCTTTAAAAGCTTTTACCGCTCATCAGTTTAGTGTTATCAGTGATTGATAGCCCTACAATTATTGCTCTCATTCCGACGTTCGCGGCGATATGTAACATGTGCGGCGTAATGGGCAAAATCGTCGTTTTCACACGTATGCGCACCCGACGCCTGTTTGCATGCGTGTATGTATGGGGGGGACTTTAAAAAAAATGTAATTCTTTTTTATTTGTAACTTTACATTTTTGGGGGGGAAACTTTATTGCTATCACATAGGGGGGTTAGAAAACCCCCTTATGTGATAGCAAAATATGTGACAGGTCCTCTTTATGGAGACATCAGGGGTCTCCAAGACCCCTAATGTCACCTAGGACCCCCCTGAAGAAGCTGATGAAGCAAAGATCTGCTTCATCAGCTTCTCTCCAGCATCTGAAGCTGGAGAGTGACACAAGAATGCGGAAGTGATGTAATATACAACACTTCCGCATTCTGACAGCGGAGAGGGGACCGGAGGGAGCTCGTGTACCGAGCTCCCTCTGATCCCCTGTGACAGAGGCACTATGCTGGTCCCGGGCTCACACCGGAGCCCGTGACCAGCTTGACAGCGGGAGGGGGGGAGCCGGGGAGGGTGCAATTCACGGGACCTCATACAAGCGATCCGCCGGCTCTATAGCCGGCGGATCGCTTGTATGTTAACAGGCATCGCTGCCTGTTTTCAAATAACGGGCATTTCCCGCTCGCGAGCGCACAGCGGTTTTCATACGAATAAAGACCCCCGCTCAGGGGGCGGCTGTTTTAGCCGCGATCGTGTTTGGACCCGCGCGATCTGCCCAGTGCGACTGGGGTACCATTAGAAAATAATGGCACCCACAGCGCGATCGGTTCACACCGTGGCGACTCCTGACTGTGCGCTGACCGTGCGGCAATCCACGCGGAATCTTGCATGATTGCCGCGCGGTGAGGTGTCGCCTAGGTGTGAACCTAGCCTCAAGGTTTAACAATGGATAAGATCGAATTAGTCTTTCACCTTTGTACATGTTCACCCAAAACCAAACCCACCATATGTAGAAAAAGTGAACTTCCTGTTTTCTTCATCTACATTGTGTACTTTGATACGAACTTCCTGTTTGTGCTGATCATGTGTTGGAACCGCTGTGGATGCGGTAACCAGTGACCTAGAAAAATAGGGACAGAAGACAGTGCTATGAGTCACAGAGCTACTGTGAGGTATTGCAAACCTGAGCAATAAAGACAATGGCAGAGCAGATCTGCTACAAGAGAGGATGCATATGCAAATATAGAGAAGAGTGTTGAAGTAATCAAGCAATGGGCTGGGCAGGGCTGGATTAACATAGTGCCAGTTTTCAGACCCATCACTGAAATTCGGCCCAGATCACGTCAGAATGCCCGATGTCAATCAGCCAGGGGCACCAGCGGCTCCTCCCTAATCTGGCATATTAGGTGGCCCCAGCTAGGAGCCAGCAGCCGCCTAATTAGAGAGCCGCCTTTCCTGATTCCCGTTTGATCGACCGACCAATAGCACCAGGCCCATGATGTTCATGGGGCTGGGGCCAAGACCGACTTTTACTGAATTTAAAAGAGAACTAAAGCCAAACGCTTTTGTTGATTTTCTGGTCACAGTAGTAGTAAATGTTCTCCTGTGACCCAAAGTCAGCACATATAATGGGCTACTGCCCACTATTTGAAGACAGCGCAGAGCCGCACTGGAACCGGGAAAGATCCCAACAATATTGTCGGGATCCATCCCGCTGCCTGATTGACAGCTGGCTCTGCCTCTCAAGAGCCAGCTCTACCCACCTCTCTGTCCTTCTAAAGAGCACTGAAGGAGCTAGGTAAGGGGGGAATCCCCACTCTCTGCAGCGAGAAGCCGTGAGCTTAGCGATCAAAGTTTGTGATCGCTCAGTTCTTGATCCATAGATCCACAGTGTGACAGCTGCAGTGTCACACACCAACTCAAGCTATTGGGAGGAGTACATGTTACTCCCCAATACTTCTCCTTAAACAGTCTGTCATCTGGACAGGAAATGAGGGGACTCCCCCCAAAAGTGACACAGACTGAAGAAAGAAACCTGTCAATACTATCTACAAAATCTTCAATTGTATCTACAAAATTTTTAATCCCTTTTTTTTTTCTAGGAACCTATAGATGAAAAATCTTCAGAAACTAAAAAAGACGTCCCTGCATTTGTAAGTATGAAGCTTGGTTTCTGATTTCTACTTGTGGGATAACTCGATCATCTTTTGTCGAAGGAGGTCGGTCGAAAATTGTTGGCCAAACAAAGACTGCAGCCAGTCAGCCACTGTTCAGGGTTTTCTGACAGCAGTGCTAATTTTCAGATAACAGAGAGGGCCACAAGGGACCATCTTTTCTTTTTGATGGTTATTTTGCATTACGCTTTAAAAAAGGGTCTCTTATCACACCAGAATTCCCTGGATGACCACAGATCATGCCCTGTGCCCCCTCCTAGGAGAAGGGTTCTCCATTTGTCATTCACATGGTGGATCACAAAAACTTCTCAGACCAGCCAAAATTAAGCTGGTTCCTTTAGAGTGTTCCCTATACATGGGGCTGGCTGGGATAGCCAAACAGATGTCCCACGATCTGGGTACATTCAGCTATATTAGCTGATGATCCAGTGTTTCTAAAACTCGCATTCTGAGGGGGTTAAAAAAAGCTATGAACTAATACCGCTATTGTTTTCGACTTGATAAGCCAGCACTGGGCCTATTGGTGTGCTCCCCCACCATCTACAGTAAATATGAACGTTAATCCCACCATTGTACTCCTGTTGAGGGTGGAAGCTGGACCAGATGACGTAATAAGGGCCAAAAGGTCTGTCTCAAAGGGCATTTGTTCACTTCAAAGGGGTTTTGCATTCCCCGTACAGATCTATGGAAACACAAAACCTGCTTGAAGCAGGTCAAAAGGAAATCAAGTGAAGGTTAATGCACCTGTCAATGAAGTCTGGATAATCCAATCTCAAAAGCGCCTTATACTGATGTCAAACTGATGCCATCAACCCAACCCAACCAACCCAACCAACCCAAAGCCATCAACACAGACCTTTGGATGGCCAGATTGTGGACCACACACCTTACTTCTCTCTAATGTTGATTGATAACAGAAAGGTGAATGTTTTGACGCAGTCGTCTCGTATTAGGCCTCATCTCTAGAAATCTCGGAAAAAAGAACCGCAAATTTCACTTGTTTTTCGGTGCGTTTAGAATGGGATTGGCTGCTGTCAGATAATACAGAAAATTGTTATTTCAGACCTCCAGATAATGAAGGCCCAGTATAGGGTACGACAGCAGATCGTGTAATAACAGCTGTAAAGGGACAGAAAAGCTCTGATTATCTCCGTGCAGGTAGCACACAGCCTGGGTCCCCTGGGCTCTAGTGCTGAAAGCGAAGCCACATCTCTCATTACATGTTATCTGGGGGATGAATGACTGGGACCTGCTATCATTGTTCCACGACAGAAGGCAAATTAGGATTCCTAACAGATTTATTGCAATCGGACTGGTACATGGGGAGAGAAGCTGGCAAGGAAGGAGGAACTTCAGTCTGTGAATATAGCAGCTACAATGACAGGAGATGCTGCCTAAAATTTGTTTGGGAAAAGATCAAGACTGATGTAAGAAGATCTTGTTATCACTGTCTTAGATACCTGCATCAAATGCTTACATTGTATATACAGTATACACTGTATATATATATATATATAAGGGAGAAGTCTATCACTGCACAGGCATCAGGAATTAGATTACTGTGTAATCTCTGGACTGGCCTCTCCGTAAAGGCTCACCGTGGATGATGCCTGAACAAAGATGGCTCTGTACTTCTCAGGGGATAATTGGGAACATTTGGCCAGGGAGACAATCACAACCGACTGGCCCTTTTATTTTAGATATTGTTTCCTGTGGGCTATAGATTGTGCACCACACAAAAGGGGTCTAATTATAAACAATGCACAGACCTGAAAAGAAAATATACTAAGAACATTTGTTTTGCCTTTATTCGCACAGAACAAATGGTCACAGAGATTTGCAGGGTGAATGGCTCTGCAAACTGTTTATAAACAGACCCCCAAAGTGTGCAACGGTGTCACGATGATTGGCAGCCAGTGACACTAAACTCAGGAGTTAAAACATAAAAATGCATTCAAGAACCTTTAACTATTAACACAAACGTATTGTGTATCACACAATACAAATCATCTCTGAATCGGTGCTGACACTGTCCTTCCTTCTGGAGGGGGGCTACTTTTGTTCCCCATGGTCCCTGTGTGTGTTGTAAAGTAGTCACCACTCCAAGCTCACTCCTGTGATGGACTACAATCTCATATTTAGTTTACTAATTTGTATTGAAATTGTAGTCCATCCCGAGAGTGAGCTTGGAGTGGTCACCAATTCAGAGATGATTTATGGAACTACAGCCGAGTGATACACAAATAAGATACATTAATGTTAAAAGTTAAGATACTTGAATGTATTTTTTGTAGGTATTCACCGATATATCGGCCACCGAAACATATCGTCTGAAAATGGCACTTTTGGCTAAATGTCGAAAGTGCCATTTTTGTGCCGAAACATCGGTGCATCCCTGTTTTCTCTCCTACCTGCTGGGCGCTGCTCTGTGTCCCAGCGGGGAGGAGAGAAAGTGTCACAGGCGGCCAAGTGCTGCGGGAGGAAAGCGCTGTGAGCGGCCGGCGTCTCTCTTAACACACCGCTCAGCCTCCTGTCACAGTCCGGCAGAGCGCTGTGTGGGTGGAGACAGCCAGTGCTGTCTCAGGAGGCTGAGCTCTCCTCCTGCACCACTCGCTCAGCCTTCTGTGACAGCGTGTCAGGATGGAGAGCGGGTACAAGCAGTCAGTAATCAGTGATCGCTGAGTGTTTTTAGATAATTGAGGACATAGTATGGTTACTATATCCTCAATTATGAATGAATGGGAAATTATCTACATCACCTCCTGTTCATTCATAATTGTGGTTATAGTAATAATTTGAACATTTAAATAGAAAACATTTTCGCTTTCGGTCTGAGGTTTTCTTTTTTTTTTGGGTTTTGTTTCGGTTTTGAAATTTTCATTTCGGTGCACCTCTAATTTTTAAGATTTACCACCTGAGTAACAAACCAAATGTTGGCTCCCGCTCTGTTGACAACTTTATAGTTTTCCATTTCCTATCACTTTCCCACAACAATAAAAACTTGACAGAGTATCTCGCCCTTCCCCACTCTATCCAAAACTAAAAACAAATGCTTGGCTTTACATATACCTTCAATAAAATTGGTCTTTAGTAATATACAAAGTAATTTTTTTACACCATGTGATGTGTGTATTTCCATATGTATGAGGGGGAGTCAACAATTAACCGGGCTCTGGTTATATTAAAACTCCTGTTGGCCGCACTGTCTTATCAGCGCTTTCCGCTCAAAGCCACTGTCTCCCCAGTCACTGCTGTGCAGGTGTGAACATGTTACGTCAGTTCATTTGTAACTCACTTGTGACCATTGGGGGGTGCGGCCCGCAACCGGATGACACCATTGCAGGGGTGACACCAAAATGACTGTCATTTTGGTGTCACCCCCTCTAAAAAGTCGGGCACTCGGTCATGGACTGAGAGCTCGACAGTGTTAGGAGAGAGTAGGGGACCCGGCGGTATGCCTCATCCCGCCGGCTGAACGTCCCCTCCTCTCTCTGCCGGCGTCCATCACCAAGATGGCCACCGGCAGGCGTCAATCAGATGGCCGCGCATGCGCGATGATGACATTGCAGAGTGTCACCCGTTCTAGAGACCGGGTAACACTGGCCTCAGGATGCCCCTGCTTGTGACCCTTACCAGCATACTGTAGAAAAGGACCTTTTGCGTTCTGTATGAAAGTAATGGTCTCTTTGCAAAGGTCTGGCACACCCCTTTGCTTATACGAGGGCGAGTCAAAAAAATATCCGCACTCTGGCTGTAGAGTTTATTTTGATCAACTTTTTTGACTCGCCCTCGTATTCTGTGACATACAAACACTAAAAACTAATATCTCTTTCTTATTGCAATCAGATGCACACTATAACCCTTACGTGGCTTGAAATACCATCCTTGAATTAGATTTTGCTTCTCTCCGTCGGTCACATTTATTTTTCTATCTTTTTCCATCAGGTACAGTTTGAAGAAGAAGAAAATGTGAAATGCGTAACTGCCATAATTGTGGGCGCCGGAAGCCGGGGATTTGTTTACTCCTTTTATGCTGTGAATTTCCCCAAACGAATGAAGGTGGGAAATATATTCCAGTTCTTTTTTTCTTGCGAACAAATATGTGTGAATGGTGTCTTTGCAGTCTTTTCTCAGATTGCCTCCTCTATCATGCGTTTTGTGTTTATGTACCCCCTCCTTTCCTGTGGGCTATGCTATCCCTGTGCGTTCAATTAACGATTGCAAGGCCTAGAGTGCTGCTGATTTAATTGATGTCCTTGTGTATACAGTAATATTATAGACGGCATTATATTATAACAGGAGTCGACAAATGAATATAGAGTTCAGGGGCCACTTTGTCCAATCCAGGAGCCAGTGGGATTTTCTTAGGGGCCAGCTCCATTGACAACAATTAGAGAAAACTTCAAAAGTGTAATTGGCAAACGGGTTCCTGGGATATGTCCAGAGGCGTATCTACAACAAATGGCGCCCCTGGCATCCTGCAAAGTTCCTGGCAACCAATTACGTCACTGGTTGCCAGGAGCTGGGCGGGACGTCGGCCTGGGTGAGGAGATGTAGAAGGCACATCTTCCCGTCTGATTCTCTTAGCAACCTGAGATGCTCTGGACGGCTTCCCACCCACAACATACACATCTCCCCGTCCACTCTGGTTGCTAGGTGATGGAAAGGGAGATCTGTATGGCTCTTACACCAACCCACGGAGACAGCAGACTTTTTTTTTCTCCACACATCTCCCTGTCTGGCTCCTGGCAATCAGGGATGCATCCCACCCTGCTCTTGGCAACTAGTGACATCACTGGTTGCCAGGAGCTGGACAGGACTCCGGCCAGAGCGTCCCAGGTTGCTAAGAGCTTGGCAGGGAGATGTGTAAGGCCCTTACACATCTCCTCACCCGGCTCTTCTGGGATGCTCTGTTCTTGGCTAGCTCCTGGCAACCAGTGGCATCACTAGTTGCCAGGAGCTGGCGGGATGCCGGCCAGAGCATCCCTAGTTGCTAAGAGCCAGGTGGGGAGATGTATGGAGAGGTCTGGGGAGAGAAAAAAAGTGTCTCCGTGGGCTGGCAAGCTTTCCCTAACCCACGGAGCGTGGCCCTCCCCTTCTAGTGGTGCCATATGTGCCATAATCTGGTTTACGCCAGTTTATGTCCAACCCTGCAGTATGGGGAATGATTCCTTGGCACACATCAGGCCACTTAAAGTATATGTGAACTCTGTCTATCTCAAACAGACCGGGTGTAGTGCAGGCATGTACTATTCAATCCATCTCATCAGTGTGTAAAATTAGGAAGAAATACCTTTTTCCACTAGCTTCAGGGCCAGGGCTGTGGATGGGGGTGGGTGGGAAGCCACATTGACTCGTCGCTGTCAGCTCCAGGACTTCTATTCCCAGGTGCCCTTGCAATATTTCCCACTGCCCGCTGTCAATTAAGCGCTTTGGGCCGGCAAACATGCTTGTCCATCTTTGATATCATGGGGTGAAAACAAGATTGCTGTATGTGTGCACAGCATCCTGTAGTTCCAAAACAGGAGTGTGCTCAAGAGGGTGACTACTCTGCCACAGCATTAGGAGTCTGTGGTTAATGTTGTCACCCTGTAACAGGAAGTAATTTGCACAATCAACAGGTAATTAATACAGCTTTAATACCAGTAAACAAAATAAAGTGTGAAATGCTATTTATGTAACTTTATTGTTTTCGGTTTACATACACTTCGTTACCAGTAACATCTGAATGCCACAAAGGCAGCAAAAAAAGAAAAATGTAACCCTCCTCCACACCATCCAGAAAAAATGAAAGCTTTGGATGGGTTTGGCTTAAAAGTTGAAATCCAGGCTTCACAATAGTCATGTGTACCCTTACTTGAATCTTGGTGAGCTTTGTGTATTTCTTCCAGATCTGTGCAGTAATCCAGTGTGACACTTGTAGCTTCCTGTAATAAAGACCGGTCACTACGGCTCTCTCTCCTTGTACAGGGTGACTGGTCTTGTCTCCGCCCCCTCCTGTAATAAAGACCGCTCACTGCTGCTCTCTCTCCTTGTGCAGGAGGACTGGTCTTGTCTCCGCCACTCCTGTATTTTTCCGCAGTCAGTCTGTAGTGGTTGCGGCCTGCTAGGGACCTCCCACAGCTCCGCTGGCTGCACAGGCTATGCACAACACACTGATGATGTAATTACTACTTTTACTAAGTAATATCTGAGTTATTTGGTGCACACAAAGTGAATTTATATCTTTTGTAGCTATTGAGGAATATTTTTACATCAAAGTTTGGTGGTTGTGAGGGGATAACTCCAGTTCTTAGAAAGAACTAATTGATACATGAGGTCTATTAGCTATTTATACCTATGGGGTTGACGGTTACAAAAAAGGCTTTGAATGGCTATTTTACTTGCTCTTGTGAAACGACTATAAAGCCTAACATTCCAGTTGAGGGTAATGCATTGCTACAAATGAAACAGCAAATGGTGTTGCTGTCTTTAAAGTAACATTATTGTTAATTTTTATTAGGGATGCACCAATACCAATACTAGTATCGGTATCGTTACCGAGTATTTGGGCGATACCGAAGCTTCTGTTATCAGGAAGATGGGCAGCGTAATTACACGCCACCGGCTTTCTGATTGGCCGGGAAGCCACCTCCTTGCTCCCTTGTCACCAGGGAGCATGGAGGCGGCTTCCCGGCCAATCAGGAAGCTTGGGGGCAGGTAATGACTCACCCCCTGGGTTCCCTGCTCCCTTGTCATTTGGTGATGAGAGAACATGGAGTAGGCTTCCTGGCCAATCAGGAAGCCAGGTAGCGTGTAAAGACTCGCTGTCCAGCTTCCTGATTGGTCGGGAAGCCAGCTCATTGGCTGCCCCCCAGCTTCCTGATTGGCCAGAAAGCCGACTCCATGGTTCCTCATCACCTGGTGACGAGGGAGCATGAAGCCACCTTCCCAGCCAACCAGGAAGCCGAGCAGCGAGCCATTACACGCTGCTCGGCTTCGTTACCAGAACTTCCGGTATCGGTATTGGCGAATACCGAAAACAAAATATCTGTACTCGTACTGGATACCAAAAAAAACGGTATTGGTGCATCCCTACTTATTATTATTGTTATTATTATTCAGGGTTTATATAGCGCCAACAGTTTGCGCAGCGCTTTACAGCAAAAGGATTAGAAGGACCCTGCTCCTGAGAGCTTGCATTCTACAAGAACACGGTGAAGAAGCTCACATTTGATATAACACTTATAAAGCAATACCTGGAATGTGAAGTTGTGTTTTATAGTGGAGGCGTTACAATGTTGTCATGACTTGCGATAAGAAGGCCGAGCCAAATACTAACAGATAATGGAAATGAATGCCATTTCCAGCACCTGAAGGAGTCATTGGTAAGCTGAATCATACGCTAGGCTTTCCACTGCCGTTCCACTAACGACCCCTTGTGGACTCCAGCGGTTTGAAATGTTGTGCAACATAGACGTTTCTGGATAATTGTGGCGTGTTGCAACATTCTCATCCCGGTCTAGTTGCTTTATTCCAAGAAGTTGTTGTTTAACATAAATCCCTAAAATATTGCTCAATCCCACGCCGCAGTTTTTGTTTCTTCCATTTGGCAGGATTTTGTTTTTTAATGCTGTCTTTTTTAATTTATTTATTCTATATTTATATCTTGGTGGTTATGACACATCCCTATTGCATTGTCCTTATAAAGAACGCGAACATTGATTTCTTTTTTTTTTATTTTTTCTACTTTATATGGTAATCACATATTCCTGAAGAGTTTATGGTCGGCTTTAGAAAGATTACCCTGTTATAGGCTCAAAGGCAAGCGCGTCAAAATGCTCAAGACAAGGAATCCCACTTATTTCTATGGCCTTGGTATAGAAAAACGCCTGTCACTCAAAGTAAATGAGCTACTTTTTTCGCAGGTTAAAGCAGAACTATGAGGTGAGTGAAAATCACTCAGCCTCATAGTTCGAGCCGACGTGTGACAATAAAACTGTTACACATCGGCTCAATAGATCGAGAAGTGAGCGAACACATACCGTCGCTTGCTCACTTCTCAACCCTGTCCCTGCAGAGAGCTGTGACTGTCACTCACGGCTCCCTGCAGGGATTCCCCCGCTCCAGCGCTGACTGGCGTAATGGACGGGGGAGGGGGCGGGTACAGCTGGCTGTGCCTCTAGATAGGCAGAGCCAGCTGTCAATCACGCAGCTCGCGGTATACTGAGCTTTGGGTCACGGGAGGACGCTAGTTTGTGTCCTCCCGTGACCCTGAGGAGAACTATGGGGAAAAGCACTGACCCCATAGTTCTCCTTTTAAAGAGCCTTTTGGTCCCATAGACTTCAACTGGAAAATGTATGCATCAAAAAGCTCAGGTGTGAAGTAGGGCCATAGATATGAATGGGATTCCTTGTCTTAAGCATTTTGCCAAGTTTACCATTGAGCAACAAAACGCCTAGGTGGGAACGCAGCCAGGGCCTGATTTACTCTCTCAGCTGCGTCAAGGCCAGGTTTCTCATTGTGCCCCCTTCTGCCAAACCCAAGGGTTGGTGTTCATTTAAAAAAAAAAAATAATCTTTACAGCTGGCTGTGCCTCTAGATAGGCAGAGCCAGCTGTCAATCACGCAGCTCGCGGTATACTGAGCTTTGGGTCACGGGAGGACGCTAGTTTGTGTCCTCCCGTGACCCTGAGGAGAACTATGGGGAAAAGCACTGACCCCATAGTTCTCCTTTTAAAGAGCCTTTTGGTCCCATAGACTTCAACTGGAAAATGTATGCATCAAAAAGCTCAGGTGTGAAGTAGGGCCATAGATATGAATGGGATTCCTTGTCTTAAGCATTTTGCCAAGTTTACCATTGAGCAACAAAACGCCTAGGTGGGAACGCAGCCAGGGCCTGATTTACTCTCTCAGCTGCGTCAAGGCCAGGTTTCTCATTGTGCCCCCTTCTGCCAAACCCAAGGGTTGGTGTTCATTTAAAAAAAAAAAATAATCTTTATTTTTTATCACTTCTACAAAACAAGTGGCGGCTTCCCTGCTCTACATTTAGCTCTACTTCCCGAAAACAGGGCTAAATG